CCCCGCCCCCAGGGCCCTCAGGGAAGTCTCTATGGCACTGCTGTTGGCTGGACCTCCCTCGCATGTTGCTCTCAGCTCCTCTGGTCAGGTTCAAGTTCCCTGAGAGCAGGACCTATCTAGCCCATCCCTGCCTCCCTCTAACTGTGTGACGTTCTCTCTGGACCTCCGTTTTCCTCATCTGTGAAACGGTGCAATTCCTACGTTGTTTTGGCTTGGTTTGGTTGTAAGTCCTGAGAGTCTGTCAGTCCCCGTCCTGAGCTGCACGCTTGGGCTGGCAAGGTTTGCTGTCCTCTGGTGAGGCTCGCGGCTTTCCTCCTGCGCGTCTGCTCGTGGCCTCCTTTAGCTGGAGACGCTTTGCCTGGTTGGAGTCCTGAAGGTTTTATTACCACAGTGGCCCTCAGGGCTCCTCCCATCTCCGGGCCTCAGTTTCCCACCTGCACATTGAGGAGCCCTTTCCAGACCTCCTGCCTCTCTGCTCGGTGCCCACAGAGTGCCTGTGGTGACGGAGGACGTGGCCCGTGAAGCCCTTCTCAGTTTCGTGAACTCAAAGTGCTGCTATGGCAGCGCCGTGGCTGGCGACCTCGTCATCAGGGAGCTGAAGCAGCAGACCCTCTGCAGGGTAAGGGGCAGGGCTGGCTGAGGAGTTGGGGCCTGGGGCCCTTGGGATGCAGGGGAGTTTGTGATGTGAGATGGGGGCGAGGAATCCTGGCAACGGGCGTGTGAATGGTGGGGATGTGAAAGCCCTTCTGCTACTCGTCTGCTCTGTGCTGTGAGCACTGAGACGAATGAGTGTCACCTCCTCAAGCCAGATGTGCCCCAGGTGTCCTGAAAAGCGCATTCCGTTCCTGCCTGGGCAAATCCTCCTAGCCACCCTACACAGGAGACCTTGGTGTCAGCAGCTGACGGGGGATTGGGAAGTTTGGGAAGGAAAAGTGACTTGCTCAAGAATAGGCAGGTATGGGGGTGCTGGAAAAGTGCATTTTCACATAGGAAACCATGAAAAAAAATATGTCCTGACTTTTCTGACGACCCAACAGAAGTGACAGCGCCAGGACTCAAACTTGGGTTTTCTGGCCCCAAACCTTGAGTCCTCACTCCAGCTTTCAGCCTTCTTGAGCGACGGGCAGAGAAAGGTCCATTGACTCTGACCCCAGCTCCCTCTGCCTCGCCCGAGTCACATCTGTACCAAGGAGTATCTGCATATCTGCATATTGCTCCAGAGAAATCCCCCCTGTGTCACTCGGACCATAGCGAGCACATTTTTCTCCTTCTGCATTGTCAATACAGAAAAGAGGGACAGCTTCCAAGGTCATTTTTGTTGTTGTTGTTGTTTGTTTGTTTGTTTTTTTGCTATAGGGCATGCGTGCTCACCAGAGAGAGACAGAGAGAGAAGGCAGGGTGACCACACCACAGTCCCTCTTCCTCTGTTCTCTCGGGATTTGGGGCATACATGCTCACTCACCTGGTGTGATTCTTAAGAAGACGAGTTCGGGACTCAAACAGTGAAGTTGCCGTGTGGGATCCAGCGTCTGCTGGCCCAGCGTTCACATTTTCTAGTGTCGTTGATACCGTTATCCTCTGGAAAGCACAGTCATGCAAAATTCAGACAAGCTTCCTCCTGCCAGTAAGGGCTAGAGCAGGAATCTGGAAGGAGAGATCATTTTACAGCTGAGTTACCTTAGACAAAGTCAACTGACCTCTCTGAGCCTCCATTTCTTCACATAGAAAAGGAGTTGCCCAGTGATGGCCAAGATGCCTTCCCATAACAGGATGAGGATCAAAAAAGAAGACTTGACCGTCAGGCAGAGAAAGTCTTGCAGGAGGGGACCCTGAGACCAGCGGGTTCCAGGGGACTCCGTGGTTCACAAGACAACCACTGCTCCCAGACGTGCCTTTTTGCATGTTTCTATGTATAAGTTCATGGGAAACTGAAACCACTCCACTGTGAGCCCGTCGGGGAAATTTCCCAGGGCTGGCTGACCTTGCTGCAGACATCCCGGGGATTTGGAACAGAAACTGCTGTTACCAGCCTGTTCCATGCAGCTGAGGGTACCACACCTGCCTGCAACCTTTCGGCTTCCCACCAAGGCTGAATTGTGGCAGGTGGGGAGCTCCATCTTTTTGCATAATGATCTGTCTTTTTTTTTTTTTATAGAGGTTTTTTTGCTATAGGGCGCGTGTACTAGTCATTGAGACAAAGAGAGACAGAGAGATAGAAAGCGAGAAATCACCCCCCCAGGGGGGCTGACCACACTGCAATCCCTTCTGCTCCGTTCTCCTCTTGGGACCTTGGGCACACATGCACACACGCTCGGCATGAGTTTAAGCCACCGGGTCCGGGACTGGAACCGTGGTCAACTACATGGGAGTCCAGCGGCATAGCCATTATGCTAACTGCTGGTCTCAATGCTCTGTCTTCATAAAGGTGCGAATGTGAGCCTGCTGTGGTTTTGTGTTTTTTTCTTTTTTCTTTTTTTTTTTCCTTTATAGTATCGACTGGAGACCTTTAGTGAATCCAGGATAAGTGAGTGGACTTTTCAACCGTTTACCAGTGAGTGAGTTATCTGAAATCAGTTTAATGAGCAGGGGGGTGAGGGAAGTTATCAGCATTGGCTCAGCCACTAGATTTGAATACGATGCTGTTCTGCTCGGAGCCTCAGTTTCCCTGTCTTCTGTAAAATGAGAGGGTGGGGGGACCAACAGATGGTGTATTAGCTATGTCATTGGACTTCCATGTAGTTGGCTGTGGTTTGAGTCCCAGACCTGGTGACTTAAACTCATGCCAGGCGCGTGTGCGTTCATGCCCAAGATCCTGGGAGGAGAATGGAGGAGAAAGGATTGCGGTGTGGCCATCCCCCGGGGGTGGTGGGGGTGAAGAAGATGCAGGCACAGGGGCGATAACAGGTGGGAGCCCTTGTGCTCACCGTTTTATGTACACGCTTCCATTCCATTTTCCCTACCGTCACCCACATGTTAGGGATAAAAGAGCAAAGCTCAGAGAGGGTAAGCAGTTTGTCTGGATGTGCACAGCTGGGAAGTACAGAGCCAGGAGCCACTGTGAACTCCCAGGGGGCCCTTGCCTACCCAGCCCAGTAGCCCTAGGACCTAGCCTGATGCCTGGCACCAAGTGAAGACTCCGTGCTTTTTTATTTATTCATTTTTTTGAGAATTTTTTTTCTTTTTTTGCCTTAGGCACATACACTCACTGGAGAGAGAGAGAGAGAGAGAGAGAGAGAGAGAGAATGAGAGGGAGAAATCAACCTCCCACAGGGGGAATGGCCACCCCACAATCCCTTCTCCTCCATTCTCTTCCTGGGATTTTGGGCATGCACGCACACACATCTGATGTAAGAATTTCAAGCCACTGGGTCTGGGACTCGAACCATGGTCAGCCATGTGGGAGACCAGTGATGTAACCACTATGCCATCGGCTGGTCCCGGTGCTGTTTTGAATGAATGGACGCTTATCCCTGCTGCCCTCTGCTGTTCCCTGTGTCAGACCATTCGGTAGATGGGCCAGAAAGAGGCACCTCCCCTAGGCTCTGGGACATCAAGGTCCAGGTCCCCCCAATGTTTCAGGAAGACACCAAGAAGTTCCAGGTCCCTCACTCATCACTGGTCAAGGTAAGATGCTACTGGAATGTTTGCCCTTCTCTCTGTGCTGGCTTTTCAGGCACTGACGTTTACTTAAACTTCGTCCTTTTAGAAAGGAAACCCACAATTCTCAGCTCTGGTTCATTCCTTGTTAAGAACATATTAACCTAATTTAAATATGCACAGGGTTATGGAGTGTAGTCCCACACAAACCACCATGCAAATGAGGGAGAGTGTGCTCTCGGAGCCGAAGCCCCCTCCTGTCATATTTATAAAACTGTCACCAGCTTTAAATAATGAACAGAATACAATTTCTAGTTACAGCACCATTTGAGTGTTGTTTTAGTCTTTTTTTTTTTCCCCATCCAATGGCAAAAAGCTGGAGTGCCAAATGAAACTCATATGAAATAAAAAGTGAAAGCATGATTGGAAATTTTCATGGAAGTCAGTAGGGAAGCAGAATTTGACATGCGTCCCATTTCACAAAAATATGATCATGCCATGGAGTGAGGAAATCTAGTTTTGCTTTTTAAAAAAATAATTATTTTATTTAACTTTATTTATTTATTTATTTATTTATTTAAAT